AGACCAGTAATATTTGGGGTCACAAGTTTTTGCCGTGGATATTTTGTGGGTCAGAAGATAAAAAGTTTGGGAACCACTGCCCTAACCCTAGCCTAAACTCAATTCATGCAGTCCTAAACTGCACCCACACCAATCCAAAACCAGTCTTTACAGTCATGGGGACTTGGCTTTTGTCCCCATAAGGAACAGTGGGTCCTCACAACAGGAAAACAGGCAAACATTGTCCACACTGGGTAATAAAAACATGCACAAAAATGAGTTTGTATTTCTGTCCTTATTAGGACTGCTCATTGACATCCATTCATTTCCAACCGTTTCTATAGTCTAACCCCAAAGAAAACCTCAGTCCTAAACCGAACTCCCAACCCAAAAATGAAGTTCCACTTTATTCGGACTGTCTTTGGTCCCCATAAGGTCTACCATTCTTGACAAGGTAGGTGTACTGTGTATACCAGAAATGGTCCTAAAAAACAAGCGCACACACACACACACACGCACACACACAAAGAATATCCATGAGACTTAAAAAAATAAGTATTACCTCTTTATATAACTTCAAGTCTTTTCCTGCATAGAAAGCAAAGTGAGAAACTTTAACTTTGCTCTATTTTTCTAATAATTCATGTAACCTAAACACTACATTAACAAAACCCATTTTCTGCCCTCAGGATGCTTCCTCTCCATTTTATAGGGGTTTGGGGGTATTTTCTAAAATGGAAAGTTTGTGAATTATTTATTTACACAAATTATCTTACCTCGAGGCACCACGCTCTTAATTTGGTCCAGGATTGACCCAGGAAAGAGACGAAAAACTGTAACTTTATGGTAATCAGTCTCACAATAAATGTACCCAAAATGGTTTGATGAGTTCTTGTCTTATCAGAACCAATAATACTTTATCAAGACACAAAAGTGAGATTAGCTTATGATGGCACGTTCTCCACGGGCCATTTATTTACAAATTAAATGTATTTACAACTATGGTGAGTAATGAGTGATGACATGTTGAACCAGTTAAAACTGACAGAGTTTGTAATCACAAGTGAACAAACAAAAACAAATAAAATAAACCCTGAGAGGTGAGTTTGAGGTTTGGAGTGAGGTGAGGTGAGTTTTGCTTTTAGCTGAGGATTTAACTAAGGGGGTCCTCGTTAAATTAGGGAGAAAAATCGTTTAGTTTACCAAATCTCATACAAAGATAAGAATCAGATTACGTCTGAGCACCTGTTTGTCACCAGGACAAATGTTCACTTTTACCCTTTTGCTCCGCCGTGTGGGTAACCAGGAGGGGAAGTCAGCGGTGAAAGGTCATCTCTGGGGGTCGTCTCCCAGGTAGGCTCTTCATGCAAGCTGGATGTCAGGCGGTCTGCCTGTAAAACTCAACTGGTCCCGTGGTCAGAGAAGGGGGTCGCTCCCTGGTGACAACGTGGTCCGGTCTTTCCCAGGTGGCTGCAAGACTTCTTGATTTGATTTCAACTTTGTAGAGAAAACGAACTAAAAACGACACATGAATTACAATTAGCTTATTTAACTTCTATAAAATCAAACTCAGATATTGAGCCGACGTGAAACGGTAGCTGTTTGGTCAATCAGCGGGAGACGCACAAGGACCACCATCCTGCCCAGCCCATGGGGAGGGGCTGGCAGGAAGGACCTCTGCTGAGCTTCTGGCAAGCTATTTTCTCTGGCTTCTGATGTTGAAAAACTCTCTTTAAAAATAATAAAAATGTTATCTCTTGTCCTGACTTTACAAACTTCCAATTGGCTGAGAGATAGTCACATGGGGTGTCACCGCTTCACTGACGTCACGGTTCTGCTGCTAAAATGATTGAACAAAACACAGATTGACGTGGTTACCTGTACAGTGATTAAATCAAGATATTATCACAGTGATTGAGTCATGATAGAAAAATGCATTGTTTCTTTTTCTTCCCTTTTTTTATGAGACAACCAAACAACAGAAATTTACCCAGAACATAAACGGCCATTTTGAACACTAAAAGGGATCTCACAACAGGGCTTAATCAATGGAAGGTTGCAGTTCCTGTTTATTTTAGCATTTGTAGACAGTGGAGAAAAAGGACGAGGCCAGTGGAGAAAGCCGTTGTTCTCTATAGATATGGCAGGAGGAGGAAGTATTGATTCAAAATTCGAGTGGAACTGTTTTCTTACGTTCCTGCTAGTTTTACCAGCTCATTTCCATTACTTCAAAGAATTAAAGCATGTGCTGGATTGTGCTGACAGGCTACCTGCAGCGCAGGTTGTCAATCTAAATGAAATGTAAATGAACAAAAAAAGCCCCAAGTTAATAAAAACTAAAACATTTGTGTGTTTTCCTGCTTTAATGTCCTTTTTTCAGCTGCATCATATCTGCTGACAGTGCAGTTTTATTTATTATACAAAAAAATATGTTCTGTGCGACCATTTTTGTAAGTGATATCTTCTTTTTCCATTTTAGATAAAGAACAATAATACAATAATGAAATCAATACTAGAACATGCGTTTGGGTTAACACAAGCAAAATTGTTTTGTTAATTTAAGGCTTCAGGTGACTGAGCAATTCCTCTTTGTCCATTTGGTAGTGGCTCTTCTTCCAGACATCGCGGAGCGTCTGGAGGGTGGCTCCGATTTCTTTGCCTGAGGTGAATCCCACCTTTCTCAGATCGTGACCTCCGACGGGGAAGCGAGGGATGGACCATCTGAGGAGCTCTGAGAGCAGCTTCTCCTCACCCTGGTACTTCAACAGCTCACACACCCTTTGAGTGTCCATGTCCCGGTTCTGAGGAGATACAGGACATTTTAGTCCTTACACTGTGCATCTCAGACTGAACTGTCAGCAGCACAGCAACAAACAAAACAGCAGCTGAGATTTTCACCAGTCATGACTGACCTGCAGTTCCTCCCGACTGCCTTCTCTCATTTTAATAAGTCTTATAGATAATTATCATTATATTGCATTTCATCACTGCTGACTTTAGTTTCTAATCTGCTCATTAGGTTTTAAACTTATAATTTATTCATGATGTTGTAATATTTATGGGAAGAATTAAACTACATTTGAGACGTTTAAGTGCCAAAAAATAATTACTTTATTTCTCTCAACTTATTTAAAGTGGCTCTATCATGTAAAATCAACTTTTTTGAGTTTTATACCACTTTATGTTATCCTCTCATCAAAAAAAAATGACCAGAGTCTTGCTTTGACTCATTCAGGCATGTTTGAGAAATCCTGTAGTGTCCTGAGGCAGCCAGGCAGGGGAACAGAAACGACTGGTTAGGACTAGAACCAACTTTTGGGACCAGCTCCGCCTCTGGGCTGTGTCTCCAAGCCTAGCTTCCTCATCATGGAGCACATCTCCCCACCCCCCATCCCACACACCCCACCCATGACTCCTGTAGGCTCTCAGCAGCATCAAAACAACTGGTGAAACTGAAAGTGAAACTAAAACTGACTGCTGAGCTCTCAACATTAGTTCTCACTCAGTGAAGCTCTTTTAAGATTCAAAATACCTTTGAGGAAATGTAATTTCAGATGCCAAGTAAACTACATCATAGCTGCACCCCCCCCCCCCCCCCC